CTGTAGGGTTCCATTTTCAAGCATTAACTTTTGTGATACAGTATACAAACTGGGTAGGTGTGGTCTGTTAAATCATTGGGGATGTGAGAAGATGGCAAGCAATCAGGTTCCTTGAAAGATAACAGACCGCCACAAAATCAATGAGACGGGCATTTCTTGGTGCCCTCTCCCAGACTGGATTATCCTGGTATCAGTGGGGGATAGGTTCCAAGCCCCTGTGTGGATGCATGAAACCACAGATAGTAGCAAACTCATTAAAGAGAACAAGAGGCAGGACGAAGGATGAGAGGAGGAGGTAGGTGCCTTTGCACACTGTGATGTACGCATGTGCACTGCGGGCTGGGTGGTAGCAGGCAGTAGAAAATGCAGATACTAGATATCTGAATATGGGAGTCCTGCTGTATATTTCTTATCTAATGAGCATGGGAGAATCGATGAGACGGCCATTTCTTGGTGCCCTCTCCCAGACTGTGGATTCTCCTGGCAAGTGATTCTTTTCCTTCTTCTTCAGATATGCATCTAACAATAAAAGCCAGGTGCTTTTAACTGCATGAGCACTCTTCTTCCTTTTACTGGCGTGCAATGAATTGTACTTTTGATCTGCTTTGTCTTTTAATTGGATTTATTTGATTTGATTTTATCACAAATAGCTACATTGAGGGCTATTCCTGGCAGGAAGGCAGAGTTTTCCTTAAACCAACCAAATGAGCAATCAATACAGCTACTGTATGTTTTCTTTATCAGTCTAATGATCAGAGCAAATGTTTCTAGACAAAAAGTACTGTAGGGGCCACCACTATTTATGCTGACACATGGAGGGTTGTGAAGTCCCAAGCCACACCAAAGTGCTGGCCTTTGTGCATATATTAGGGTCACCAAAGAGAACAAGGTCAGATATTTTCCAGAATGATTAAACCACCTAAATTCAGTAACCTGTTCTACAACAAGTTATTTCTCTTTTCCACAATTCTCCCCTGCTAGGAAAGCATTCAGTGTGTTGACTTCTAAGCACTGAGTTCCTTCTTTAAGCAAGCCTTTCATGAGAAATCACTGTTGTTTCTTCCATCCAGTCTGTCTTCCAGTATTTGTTTGATGCTGTAGCCAGTTACTTTTTTAGTTCATTCCCATTACTCATTCCGTTGTTGAAGAAGTGTCATTACTTGATGCGCTGCTGGTTACATACTATTGGTTTCTGTTGATTTTTTTAAAAAGGATTGGATTGTTAAAATGATGGGATAAAACTGTCAAGATGCCTCTGTGAAATGTAAAATGTTCTTTAAAAATATTGTTTGAAAGTAATTAGCTGTTACTTGTCATGCCAATAAAGTAACTTTGATCCATCTTGTTGCATTACTTTAGAAATATAACTTTTTATTGCCCCAAAAAGTAACTAGGTAGAGTTAAACTATATTACTGAAAGTTAGTTATTTCTAAGCTCAGACTCCACCTCATACATCCTTCTATAATCATCTGTCTATATATCAGTTCAGATACTTCATTCAGTCTGATATGAGCTACATAAAATGTGTAAGCATACAAAAATAAACAAAAGGGTGGAAACTTCAAAGTTCAGATGACCTGAAATCAAAAAGAAACAGAGAAAAGAAAAGAGAAAAGAAACAGAAATGTCAAGCAAATCACCAGCAAAACTGCCAAAAAAAAAAGTGGGATTTGAGGCAGTGAGAGCCTTAGTTTGGTGAGACAGAAGAAGGTGGTCTTTGAACCTAATTATGACTGAGAGCATTAACTGCAGTTAGGAGTGTGAGCTGCAAAGTCCTTTGTTCAAACCTGACTTTGGCCATGTGATCCTCATGTCCAAATCACACATTGACTTCAATATTGACTTCAAGCAACCCTCCAGGTCCTTCCTCCTTTGTCACTCCATACTTCCCTTGCCCCTCAGCAGACAAGCAGGGAAAGTGTTCAATTTGTCGATATCCTGAAGTGGCTCACTTATTAAGCCACTTCATGATATCAGAAGCAGCCAGATCAAATAGGGTCACTTGAGCTCCAATATGCCTCTTGGAGTCAAGGATAACACCAACCGGCACACTGCATCTCCACCGGACCCCAAGAGACTCTATTTAGCCTGAAACAGTCAGCTCCAGAAGAGCCAGTGTAGTTTTCTCATAATGCAAGTCTTTCTCATCAATTTCTGGCCTCTCTCACATGTCTTGATTATTCTCACTTCAGTTTTGCTCCCATTTATTCTGCAGCTCTCCAACAGTATTACTAAGTGGAGATATATATGTTCTGGGAAAGAGCTAATCATGAAGGTACCCTTTTACATTAAAAATAATCTTTCTGTGACTTGTTAAAAAGGTAAAGGTAAATGTTCCCCTTGACATTTTTTTACCCCAGTCTTGTCCAACTCTAGGGGGTGGTGCTCATCCCGTTTTCAAGGTGTAAAGCCAGTGCTTGTCTGAAGATTCAATTTGTCGATATCCTGAAGTAGCTCATAAACCACTTAAAGATACTGGAAATTGACACCAGGAGGAGCCTTTGACAGCTGCAGTTTAGCCCATTTGAAGCAACAACATGCACTGGAATAGAGTAAACTAGAGCCCACCAACCCACATCAAAACAGTAGAACCCCCTGCCAGGGGCTCAGAAAGGTGCAGGGCAAATTGGTCCACTCCAGCAATTGCT